TCTATATATCTATGTACTTATCTTACCTATTTTAACTATTTAATATAGGTTACTTTAATTCTTTAAAACGCGTGTATAGACAATTAATTAAAAATAAGATAAAATTAGACTTTAACTATATTAATAAACTTAACTTTTTTAAAGTTTTTCTTTAAACAAGAATTTAAATATATACTACTAGTAATATCTACAGCGATTTTTTAATTATTAATTTTATTTCTTTTAGTCCTGAGCGCGTACTATCTCAGCTAAATATTTAGCTAAAAATAATATTTCTAAATAATAGACCTAGTAGTAGATCTACTGATTTAATATTTAAAATATCTTATAATCTAAAGTAACTATAAAAATAGAAGACTATACTAAAGAAGCTATTTAAAGCTTATATAAAAAGCCTTGACTCATCTACTAAAATAGTGATAAAATAGCTTTTTAAAGGCTATAAATAAACTTTAAATAAAGCTATTATTATAAAGTAGGAAGTTAAAGAACTATGTACCGCGAATATAAAAATGTTTAAAAAGAAAAAGCGTTTTATTAGATAGATTACTATAGAATTAGATACTTTAGTTTAGAAAGCTTAAAAGTTTATATAAGATAAAAATTCTATTATAGAGTCTATAACTATTGCTTTAATAAATATAGACATTCCAGTAGAAAGCCAGCGTATATATACTCTACTAAGGTATTCTAGCTGTAATATACTAGAATATAAAATTACTTAATGTTCTAATTGTCAGACTATTTAAATTTTCTATAGAAATATATATTTTTTGGTATTTTGAATAGCTTCATTTCTAGGAGGTGCGTAGAATTCTGATGTGGTGGCCGCTCGCCCGGGATGGCCGCTCGCCCGTGGATTACGTTAGTTAACGAACGAACGTAATCGGTACGCGAGCGGCCAGCCCTGGAGCTCTTGTATTTTCATACAAATTGGCCCTTTTTGACACTCACTGGATTTTCGAACATCTCAGCAACCAAAAATATTGAAAAGATATAATCTAAGTATAATATAAGAGTAGCTATATCAGTCTATAACTAATTTTTTTTTTTATCGCAGAACTTTGCTCTGCATATATTTTATTGTTCAGGAGCTAACTGTTTTCCCCGAATCTCGCATTCCGATTGGTCGCTCAAAAGGGACACCACGTGACCATCCTCATGTATTCTATACTAAACTACTAGGATCCCTGGACCCTAGCATAAGCTGTTTAAATAAATTGAATAAAATTTTGATTAAATTGATTAAGTTGCTTAAACTATAGGTAGTACATTTCAGCTTATTTAAATATTGGGCTCTGCACGTCTTAGGCAGTGGTCCGAAGGACCGCTGGCCTGCCCTCGGACTAACTAAACTATTGATGATATTAGGTTTTCCACTTTATATAGTTTCGAACTCAAGTATACTAATTCAGTGTATATCGACCCTAACAATAATTAAGAACCGGCTCCAGCTCTTCTCCGCTGCTCTGCAGCCTCACCTCTTAGGAACCTTGCTACCTCTCCGTCGGCACTTGTCTGGAAATTATTGGCTTCCTTCTTTGTTGGGTTGCCAAAAAGGCACCGCCATAAGTCGTCCTTTCTAACGAGTTCACCGCCAAATGCCCCTCCAGCCATTAAATTCGACAGAGCTGCATCTCGGATTTCTAAGGAGTTTGCAGAGTCTATAGCCGCCTCTGTGATATTATGTGTCACAGCTCTTCCATTTTCGACATATTCAGATAATGGCTCCGCCTTATCCTTTTGTTTTATATGAGCTAGGCGACGTGATACGGAAAGTTCGTAGATCGATTCCTCGACGGTTTCAGAAACTAGATACATCCAAACGGTGGTTGGTCGGTGCTGGCCAATACGGTGTACACGAGCGATAGCCTGGAGCTCTATTGCAGTGTTGATAAGCGGCTCGCAAAGGAAAACATGGGTCGCGTTCACTAAATTTAGCCCTGATGAATGGGCCTCGCGTGCAGGAAAAAACATTCAACCTAGTAGGGATACAGTTGAGTACGACAATTCCACAAGCTACAGGGGAGGAACGGGGCTAAGAGGCTTACCGATGGGTCACTCTTGAACTTTGATATCCCGTCTTTGCTGTCAACACTGCTGAAGCCGATTTTAAATCTGTGGAAAGCAATGGCTAGAACCCCTAGAAAGTCCTTATATTGTGAGAATATCACTGACTTCGCACCAGGATCATGGTGGCGCAGCCATAATATATGACGTGCCAGTGTATCGATCTTCGTGCCAAATGAACCGTCTAAATCGACGGTTTTAATTTCTCTGAGAGTACCGGAGCTTATATCAGCATATATTGAGTTCTTCGTTCGACGTTCAGGCTCAACTTTAGTTGGCGGCTTCTCCTCTTGCACAAGCAACTCCTGCGGTTTGTAAGTGATTTGATAGAAGTCATTAGCTTTCAGACGTTTTTTGCATGTTGGGCAAGTTCGATGTTGATGCCACCACATGCGCAAGCAATCTTTGCAATACTTGTGACCACATACTGTTAGAACACCTAGATATGTGTCAGCAAGTCTTATAACATATCTACAATTATAGTACCATACTCACCAACTTCGAAGCTGGATTGGCAAATGACACATATCTTCGACGAGTCGTCTGAACCTGATTCGTCTCGGAGGTGGATTAAGTAACGATGCTTTGCTCTCAATGCAGAAATTTTCTCGTCTATTGTCTCCTCCTGCTTGAGCTTTGCAGAAAAAAGCGCCTCATCTAAGGGTTTACCGGCGCTTTCTTCATCGTATGGAGCCACTGTATCGGATATTTGTTGAAGCTGACGATAGTATTCAAGTCGATTGTTCATAGTATCTCGAAACATCTCCACCTCCTTCTCCATGTTTGCTGCAACTTTAGCTTGCTCAGAGGCCATCTGACTCGCGTTTTGAAGAACCAAGGTTACAAGTTCGAGTTCAGCGCGGGCGCGAGTGTTTCCCCCGCTCGTTTGCCACTCGAGAGAGGTCGCAAGACTCCGAAGCTCACTAATGATGCCGCGAAGTGAGCCCAGCTGTGGGTCGGGCTTGATACTACTACGAATGTTCATCATCTGTAGAAAGAGAGTGGGTGAAGGTCCTTCTCCCTTCTGCGCTTGGACAATTCCACTCTTGACTTCATGGGCAATGAGGACATTTTTCTGTCCAGTCAAAGCATCATGGCGATCAGCGAACATTGCACGCAAGGCCTCCATGTAGACATACATCTCATCTTGATGCTTCGTAGACTTTTCATATTCGTCGCCTTCCAGCTCTGAATCATCCTCTTGGTCAATGAGCGACTGGGAAAGAAACTTGATCATTGTCTGACGCCATTCATCGTACTTGACAGCATGATTGTTCATAGTATCACAGAAATTCTCAAGTTTATCAAGTACGCGGCGGGATTCAAGCCCCTTGCCCCATAACCGAGGCTTCATTTGAGGGATATTCACAAACTGATTCTTTTGTGCTCTTTCCCTGATTGTTTTCATGAAGTGGCCAACTTTCCGCGAGATCTCAGCCAGCATCTCCTTTCGAATCGACTTCGCAGACTCGTACGCCTCAAATTCGCGTTTCCCGAGGGTTCTAAACTCTTCGGAGTCGGGCTTAGTGAGTTTGGGGTCTGTTTTGATCTGGAAATAAGCATTCCCGGTAAAAAAGACACATATATGTTGAACCTCAAGAGCAGCACGCAGCCTCTGACGCGCCCCTACTCGAGTATTCTTAGCCGCTTCTTCATTTTCATCCTCGCTTGTTGTGTCAGCAGACACCACGTCTCGATCCGCACTCATCCGGCGCTCCATCCGCTCCAAGTGCAACCGATCCCGACATTCCCTGACAATTGCATTAGCCCGCTCTAATGACTTTGTCCAGAGATCAAGTGCTTGCTGCCGGTGCTTCGCATTCTCCAGTAACTGCCCCCGGCGCAATTGTGAAAGAAGCAAAGAGCGCTCCTCTGCATGTATAAGTGCGTCATTCTGATCAATCATGACCTCGAGAACTTCAGCCACGGACCGCAGCGGTCCAGTGCCAGTGCCTAGCCCACGACGAAGCTTTCCAGCAGGGTGTAGGCAAGTTCGACGAAGTTTGATTAACCAGCTTCGCATTCTTTCGATTATGGAGGGGTCATCAGGGTCCCAATCCTCATTCAAGGGAGTGCCAGATGAATCGAGGCCACATGCTTCACACATTTCTTCAAACAGCTGTCCATAGCGTTGTTCCTCAACCGCCGTAAAAGGGACCGTGATGACGATTCTCTTCTGAGAAGGGATGTGCAGTTCAGTACGAACATGATCCTTACTATGTCGGAGGGCAATCATACGAACAATTTTCGTCAATTCAGGCCTAAAATTCCCGCACAACCTATTCCAGATAGCACCGCAAAATGGCTCGTAGCGGAGGAACAGCAGAAGGCCGAGGAGGTCGGATATATCTTTTCGGAGCGGCGTCCCTGTCACAGCCCAGGCATTTTGACGAGGAATTAGACGGGCAACCCTTGCCGCATTGCTGACACCACTTTCGATCATCTGAGCTTCATCGATACACACTCGCCACCAAGAAATCCGGACCAACGGTGTTCTTCTTGGTTCATATCTTTTCTTATGCCGCAGATTCCTCTGCGGTCCATCACCGGAATAGTGAACTTCTCGCGCAAGAACATTATAAGTAGTAAGTACAACATCTTGGTCTGCGAGCAACTCAACCAATTCTTCATCGGACAATGACTGGTGACGCTGGATACCAGTATAGTGGAGGACACTGAGTCCAGGTGCATGCACTTTGATTTCCTGTTCCCACTGTTCAAGAATTGCGGGGGGTGTTATTATTAAGGTTGCACCTGACGGCCTCAAGCTGTCATGACGGTGGCCTGGGAAGGTTTCTTCAGGGGCTAGAAGCTGGCGATTAAGACATATTAAACTGATCATTTCAACAGTCTTCCCAAGTCCCATTTCTTCGGCGAGGATTCCACCTCTGAGATGGTTGCTCCCATCAAACCATTCCGCAAGGTCAGTGGTGACAATCATGAACAGTTGGCTGGCGAAGCAAACTCGTCCATCTGCATCAGTGAATTCCCGAAATGAAGTGGGCAAGCCTCCTTTCAACTTTTCACTGACAGGAACCACTTGCCCGTCAGCCTGAAGATCCACGCCTTCCCTTTGCAATAGCCACCTCACGGCTCTCCTTTGGAATGGGAACAGCTGACATTTGATCAAACTGCATTTGACCTCCGCTGATGATTCAGGTGTATCTGGAGGGACGTATACGTTATCATAAAAGTCGCGGGGGCACCACCCAAGCTGTCTCCGACCGTGCCGCTCCTGCCGAGAAGCAAGGTCCTCTTGCTCCTGGAATACATATCTAGAAAATACTTCTCGTGCTCCATCGACCAGTTGATTGTTACCTAGAATATCCAAAGAATCCTTCCATAAGATAACCGTTTCAAGGCAGAAGGATCTTTTTCTTTCGGGAACAGGGTATAACGTGGACTGATAGCACACGATGGGAATCTTTCTAGGAAGGCGATCGACACAAACAAGACTACCAGCGAGCTCCAGATCCTTGCTAAATGCGAGCAACGGTGGGCCATGCGATTCATATTCAAAGACAGTTTCTCGGTCTACCGTCGTTGCTAGCTTTAGCTTGAACCAGTCAGGCGTAGTCGCGCCGGCACGAACATCTTTTGTGACTGAAATAAGGATTGGTAACAGGGAGAATCTATCAGAAGATATATCTGGGTCATCTTGAATCGGGCTTGAGGACGCGAAATCCTAATTAACGTCAGTGAATCATTCGAGCTAAGCCCATCAGGCATTAGCTTGATGACATACCAAGTACAAGTGAAAGCGCGCCAAGGGAATGTAACCTCGAGGCATTCGAGTATCCGAAAGTCCATTGAGCTCTCCGAGGGTCTGGACACCTGGGGCCAACTTGCGACGCTTGTTCGGGGGTGTATCGCTGTCAAAGCTTTCCGAGGACCTCCGCGCAAGAGCTGTTATCAATATATCTGGCACTGGGCCTGGAGATGTTGGCAAACAATTAGGCATTGTTTCCTACAAAAACTAAGGTAACGGATGTTATTACCTGGGCAATAAACTCTCTCCTCCGCCACAGTCATACTTCGCCCTCTCGTAACTCTACCCAATTCTGATGCTAGACGACTACAAGGCAGTAATCTACGAAGGAGTCGTGGCGGAGTCCCATGTGGAATCTACTATCTTATCAAAATATATCACGTGCTGATAACGTATGTACCGATACAAACTCCGCAAGTACTCCATACGGGCTCGGAGTACGTACTAGTACCAGTAGTAGTACTAGTACTATCCATTCAATGGTGTCGAACGAGCTCCGATTGGCCACAGCATAAGAAGACCAAGCAGAACGGGTGCTATCCACCTCTGGCCCATGGATCGATGTGTAAGATGTCAATATTGTGGGACGATACTATAGTAGAGCACAGCATGCTGCATGCTAGAGAGTCACTAATGGGGATAACAAGAGGGCTCATCATCCTACTACTAGTACGCTGCCTCCACAATACGAAGCTTAAGCTCATTCGATTGCGCCATCTGACTTCATGAATTGAACAGACACCGGATATTGGAATATTATTAGCAAGTCCGATCATCTACCTTCAACACCCTTCAACTTCTGTATGCATGACCGCGACAAGGCTTCTACCGGACCGATGGGTTCAATTCTCTAGGTACTTTAATGAGATGGCTTGTGAAAACTACAGTAACTGGCGGCTAAGGTATATAGCACTTGAAGCTTCCAACTTAACTTAGAGACGACCCAGATATAGCATAAATTCATCATTTCAAGAGAGAGCCATGATCGCTCTGGAAATTCAAGATAGGTGACTGGTCATCTGTATCATCTGTATCGGACACAATACTCCCGTTCACTGCTCGGACTGACCTTTTGTAGTGACCGAGGATATTGCTGCTCTCAAAGACATCAGTTGTATCACCGAAAGATATAGAGCTGTTATCCGTGGGTTGATAGAATGCTTCGCCCCATTGTTGAGTATGCAAGCGTGATGGTCCCGAGATGAGAGTATAAGTAGAAATGCCGGTTCCCCCTGTTGTTTCGATGTCGAGACCCCTACTCATCCAAGCGTGGATAGAAAGCCCAGCATCGGTAGAGCGGTACGTTTGATTCACAGACAAGGGATATTCGAAAAGGACCTCATTTGATGTTTGGTTAGCTCCGAAGGCCATGATAGTAGACCCCCCAGCTGTATGTTGATTAGTCGATTGGCTCATGCCTTGCTGGTTAAACAGGCCAAAATTGGAATACGTGAGGTTTTGGCTCCATAGAAATTCGGATGATCTTATTGAAAGGGTCCTTTCAGCAAGAACAGAGTAGGTCAGGGAGTCATTTCCTCCAGTCTGATTCTTGACAAGGCTCCGCGTAGCTCTGAACCGTGGAGTAGGTGCATCGACGTTAGGCTTCTCTGTTGCGGAGCTAGCACTACCCAAGGCAGAATCACTCAGATATAGGAAGATATTCCCAGTTACAACCCAATATGAGCCGACGCTGTTAGAGAGCGTGACGGTCCCATTTCGTGAAACATCCAAGCCGACAATTTTAATCTCAAATGAATGAGGCTGTCCGTCTTTGAGAATGGGGAGGAAGGGCGAAATATCGATTTCAGGTTGTCGCAGGTCAAAGGCGTCTATTCCAACAATCGGACGCCAAAAGCCTGGAGCAACCCCACCGGTAAAGATTATAGGAAATGGCCATACAATACCAGCAAGGATGTCATCAACATAGAGCTGGACTTCGCGAAAGGGGGAATAACCATAAAGTTCGCCCATTGTGGCATTGAAAGTCTCCGTATCGTACGAAAAGACATTGGACCACCAGAACTCCTCAGTAGACTGACCACAGGCGGAAATGGACACAACTGCACGCGAAGTATTAGGAGGAAACTGGTACAGTGTCTTTGTATTATCTCCAGGAACAGTAAAGGCACTTGACGAGTTGGAGGCTGACTTCTTGTTCGATATTGGGAGAATTACGTCTGCGGTCCTGACATGACCCTCACGGGAGAAATATGCTGTCAGAGTCACACTGAAAGGGCCGGTATATTTATCATTTATAACGTTTCCAAGGTCGAAAATCAGCTTTTGTCGTGTCTGCCATAGTGCGTTATATTGCGACATATCCTTTATATAGGTCCAGACAATTCCATCGGCCGTAGGTTCTGCTGTCGAAGTACGGAATACCTCCGTATCTCCGAGAAACAGAAGTGCTAATCGATCAAATTGGCGGCCTTGGGAGGTAACCGTGAGATTAATCTTAACTGTGTCGAATTCACATTTGGGTGGACTGTAGTATCCTATAAAGATGAAATCAATATACTGTTAAAATGGCTGCGCTCGAGGCTCTGATTACCTATAAACGGGTGGCCATAGCTCGAGGCAAATACATGCTCCATGAGCAGTACATTTTGGTTACAATGCGAGCTGTCCTCTCCCCCGTATGGAACAGGCTGATAAACTTGAAATACATCTAACGTGCCCTTAGAAGGAGCAGCTAAGAGAAAACAAAGCCATAAAACTGTGCGAAGAAACATAGCCACGACGTAACTGCTTCTGAGTCAGTCGTATTGAAGCAGGTCTGGATAGGCGATTCTTGGGTTCAACCCAGTTTCAAGACACCACGAACCGTTTCACATGAGAAGGCCGGTTTGCAATTGATGCCTATCACCGGAGAAGCTCCCTTGTCTTTTAATTTGCTGTGAACTGTCAAGTCAGGCACAATATAATGGTGTCGTTGAACATTATAAATTACCAGAGTACCACTTGAAGGCAGAGCAAGTGAAAGAACAGGACCTCTATTATGGGTCGAGGGGGCAAGTCACAATATAAGAAGTGACCAGTTAGGGACTAGTACTAGTAGTATGGCTCCATTGTGCATATATTAGCGTAGAATCAGGCCGTAGTGCGTATTAGCTGGAGTCAGATTTATAATCTCAACAACGGGCGTTTTGTCGGAGTCCGACAAGCCACCCCAGTCTAGTCCCATACTACTATCTGCAGGGGCAGGGCACAACCATAGGCGGAAGATAGAGCAATGCTGTCCGTGCAATTTGAACTAGATTTGGCGATGTTCATGTTGATGACATGACTAACTGACGCGTCATACTAACTTGCACATTGAACCATATTTAATCCTTTCTCGAGGATAAGCGGGCCCGATTTTGATTCCGTTACTAGATTCAAACGCAAATTGGTAAGAGCAGCGTGTGCATGGAAACCTTGGGGAAAAGTCTCACCCTTAAAACATCTGCCCTAATTATTTGAAGCATGTGTAATATGCGTAGCAGCGCCAGCTTCCAAGTCGGCATGTAATCGCGCTCTTCGATACTTTTGGTAGTTTGATAATATCAAGATGCACTGTTGAAGTAGCTGCTGCGTTGAATAGATGGCTCGTCCGTTTCTCGTTCTGTACTCTCCCACGGGGCTCCAATTACTGAGAAACGTGTTCTTGGAGCAAAGATCCGTTCCGTCTTTTCTGCTCTAGAGAGAAGATCTCGATGTCAAAATAATGATAAAATGAACCCGGGCTGTCGCTTATTGAAACAAAGGAAATGGGACGGAGTACATGGTCCTATGGTCCTGTGTAAGGATCAGAGGGGAAGGCAGTTCTATATACAATATGTGGAGTTCCTGAGTCCTCGCCCAACCAAAAAAGCACGCCAATAAATTATTATTATTTTCTCCCTCCATCCTATTCTTAAACAAGTCTCCAACTCACATAAAGAGACGCCAGGCACCGAGAATCAAAGCGGCGGTACCGGTGCAAACACCCCTGGAAAACATATATTAGTACAACGGAGAGCAGGTTCCCAGGATTCAAGGGTACGTACATCAGCCACTGTAGTGTAGAGAACTTCACGGCCTCTACGCGTTCTCTCAAACCCGCCACCTCTTGCTCTATTCGAGTTTCCGTCTCTTTTATTCGCATTTCTTGGCTATTTGCTTCTTCTCGAATACGACCTTTTTCAAGGTTCAGATCCAGACGAACGGATGCCTGTGTGCGCCCAATCTCATCCCGAAGTCGTGAATTGAGCTTAGCTAGATCTGCAGCAATCTTCTCATGCGACGAACGTGTTAGTTGCGCTTCGGTTGAATCTGCGTTGAGTAGTTCGGAGCGGAGTTTGGCGAAATCGACTTTCTGAGTATACGTCGATCTTTCGGTGTCTGTGGAAAAACTCATTAGCTCAAGAATCCAGGAGGTGCTACGCTGAATGCGCAGTAGTTTATGCCTTGATGCTATTTGACAAACTTCCGCTGAAGAATTGAGGTACCACTCACCTTCTCTGAGGACCATTGTCCGGGTTAGATTCTGAATAGACTCTTGGATAACATCATTCAGGACTCGCATCATCGCGACAGCCTGTTCCTCGCTGAAACCTTCCTCTTTCAACCGCTGAACGAACTTTAACGTATCGAAATGGTGGTCTCTTTGTTGGGGGGCGGAGGCATGGAAAGCGCGCCGAGCTGGTTTGAATGCAGCGACGTAAACACCATTATATCGGATAGGATTACCAGTGGGCGCTGGTCGACTGATTGATGGGCTCGTTGAACTTGGTAATCGTCTAGATATCGATGATAAGGTCGGCTCTCCGACTATTGCGGAGACGGATGTAGAAGAGTGAGGAGAAAATGTCAAAGTATGCAGTCGTCGCCCAGCAGAGTTCCGGCTATGTATGCGTAGCGTTTTCTGTTGCTGCCTTGCTGATAGAATGTTGCTCTGGGGAGGAAGAGTAGTCCGAGCAGAGGAGCCGTTCCATGTCAAGCGAGGGAGTATGGACCGCGGCACCTCGGTGACGGATTTTTGTGGTGCCATTTCCTTGTGTGGTATAATAGTAGTGTTTTATTCGAGCCAGGCGCAAGTAGTTTGTAGGAGGGGCTTCCAAAGATGAATGTGTTTGATTCAAATGACGAGGAGGAGCTCCTGCGATCCGGATGACTAACTAGGGGTTCTCGTACTCTCATTCGATGATCCGGGACGCAAGGCTAAGGAAGAGAAGCATGGCAAATTCAATGCCCGTGGTCTCGACTTCCCCGAGTCGGAAAACCGGGGACTTTCCCGGCTCCGGACAAGTTCCGATACAAAGCAGGAACAAAGAATACTAGGAAACATTTCAAAAAGAAACTAAACTAAATTCTGTCAAAGCATTGTATCACGGCCACCATAACCAATATTGTCACAAAAAGGTACTCGGTTGGAGAGTATAAAAAAGCAAGTGTAAATTAAGCACGATAGAGATAGAAGTAGTGCGTGGTATTCCAGAGGCCCTACGCTTTTCCTAGTTCTACATCTACAGGAGCTCTTATCCATCACTGGTATCTATTAATTATGCATTGAAATAACCAGGTTTGGTCCGTACTATTCTCGTTAAAAATAAGCAAGACCTTTTCGGTAACTTCTGCTCAAAAAGTTAATTCAAAGGGGAGTTATTCATGGCCTCGAACGCTCAATATTCCATCTGCAACACGCAAGGGCAAACCTGGATGATGGGAGGTTGGCCGAGAAAGAATGATTCAGAGTACGTCGCGGTCTTGGAACAACTGAACCATGTATATTTCTTCAAGTAGGTAATTCGCTATAAGACATACCTGACATCCTCACACCATAATCAAGTCTGCGTGTAGCGGCATAATAAATATCAATCCTATTTGAGCTAAATAAATTAAAAGATATAATCATTGCTGAATAGTACCTAGGCTACAGCTGGAATATTTCTTTCAGCTGCTTCATGGTATCTTCAGGATCCTTGACCGCATGCCCAACTGTCCTAGAATCGCTATATATCTCATAATCATTACCGCCAGGGAAAGACTTGTCTCCGAAGAAATGAATGGTCTTGTACTCAGTGCCTGAGAGATCTTTCTCGGCTTCGATATGGCGCAGGCAGTAGGTCTTGTCCCAGCCGGTTGGGAAAACGTCAAATGAGATCTGGCCACCAATCGAGTAACTACAAAGACTATTATTAACATTGTATGGTTGATTGCATGAGGCCGAAACAGTTGCATCTATGACTTACCTAAGACCGTAATCAGGAAATTCCGTCTTGAGGGCTTCTACAAAGTCCTTTCTGATGTTGTGCTTTTTGTCATAGCTATTGCCGTTGTAAGCCAACCATAGTAATTCAGATCAGGAGTGAGTTTCGATACGTACGCTTCGAATTCATTCCTCTCGTCAACACTGGCATTGCGGCCAACGGGACTGATATTAATCATTCCATTGCGGAACTCGATGAACGTACCACGCTTCCTTGGAAGCTGCAGATCCGCGATGTATTTGAGGCAGAAATTAGCCAACTTCTGGTATTTCTCTTCCCCAATCCAGGCGATAAAGCTGTTGCTGGCGAGGAACCTGCCCAAGCGGATTGCAGTCAATCCATTTTCGGCGAAGCAAAAATCGAAAAGTGAGGAAACTTTTGTTGAGGATGTGCCTAGTTGCTCTTGCTGCTTGGCAAGATCAGAGCCACCAACCTGTGCGGTGTGAGGCTGCGGGCTGCTTTACGAGAACAACGGGGACTAACAGTTCCAATAGCACACTTATGACGCAATTGAGAGAGGAGCTGGAGCATTTCGGGAGAGATAGTCTGCGGTTTCCATGAACGGGTTAGTAGGGCTTCAACCAAGAATCCTTGAGATAAGGTGCCAAGATAGTGAGACACATGATCGGATTTCCAACCTACTCTTCTCGCAGGAGTCAATGTACCGTCGACATCGAAAAGACAGATCGTGTCCTTTACCGGACGGTCCTCCAGAGCCGGATACACACCTACGGCTTCCGCTGCCATGACGCTGTGCCGAAGAGATAGGAGAATGCAGAAGGTTGAGATATGTAGACAAGATGGCAATTCCTAGAGAGAACGAAAGTCAATCCGACATTTGTAGAAACTGAGACAACAAGCTGAATCTATAGCCATGAAGAACGAGTCCTGACCGCATGCGGCAAGAGGAGGGGCGTACCTAGGTACCAGGTAGATACCAACAATAACTTACCTCTTTGGGGAGTTTAGGTACTGACAGTACCAGGCATTGCTGTAACGAATGAAGGCGGTCAACTACTACCACGATACAGTACTATTCTGGATATTATACATAATTAGTATGTAGTATCTGGAGTAACTATCCTGCAGGTCGGCGTAGGTCCATGCTTATCGATAACAACCAGAGCTTGGGGAAGATATGTACCGATAAGGATGACGTATGATACTAGTAGTATGGTGTTTGTGGTAATTCAATGTCAGACACAAAAAAGACGAACAACTTCTAGAGTTCGACTCTAGCGGTCAACGATGTAATGAAAAATACAGAACTATCATTTAATTATACATTCATTGAGCGTTAAAGTCTCTGGCCTCGGAAAGCCTTCCCACCGGTCACATGCTGAAAAATAAAGAAAAATGATAAACATTGATCAAAACGATAGCCCAATATGCAGTTATCGCCCTACTGTGGACTGAAAAACTTTGGCTGCCAATTCGCTCAATAATCTAGCACGGTCACCTTGCGGAAGATCTAGGAAGACCTCATAAACGCTTTTGCCCTTCGCGTCACGAACAGCGCCGAGCCGATTTCCCGCAACTGCACCGGCGAAAGCACCAGCAGCATTGGCGACAATGAACCCAAGTGCACCACCACTTATTCCACCAACAATAGACCAGAAGCGAGATGTCGGCCTGGTCCGCCGACGGCCATCAGCGTCAGTATCATCACTAGCAAGGCCCTCCTCGCGTAGCATCTCTTCAAACACCGAACCAAACTGCTCAGAGGCGCGTTGTTCACGATCGCTCGTGCCAAACCCGAATGAAGACCATGAAAATCCCCCGGTGCCACCTAGGGGTACTTCATCCTCAGTCTCTGCTTCCACCGGCCTTGTTGCGTCGTACTCTCTCCGACGTGACTCGTCTGAAAGGGTATAATAGGCATCGTTGATTTCCTGAAATTTGCGCGTTCGGGCAGGCCGTTCAGGAGAGTCGGCAGGTACACGGTCAGGATGTGATTTTAAAGACTCCCTGGATGGGTCAACCACACCGAACGTCAAGACATGAGCAGCTGCCGATGTTCACCTTTTATACGCATTGCGAATTTCTCTTTGGGTTGCGTTAGGAGACAAGCCTAGAACTTTGTCTGTATCCCAGTCAAAAAAAGCACTATCGTTTGGTCGGGTGGGATCAGTATGTACAATAATCAGGTTGTTCTGCACACTTGAAACATTAGCGCTCACACGTTCTAAACGCAGCTTTGTTGGGTAGGCCTACTCGGCATATTGTTTATATTACTATTATATTAGGTAATGGTCTATAAATGTAGAAATTGCAGATTTGGCGTGTAAGTTGAGATGGTGGCCTCCAAATATATTCGAAGTAAGATAAGTGCGCCCAGCGGGGACCATGAGTTGTAACTTACACATAACAACTGGCACGAGGAGGAAAGTGACGTAGTAGCCTACTGATGTCCCATTGATGCCTTAGGCCGAGAGCATGGATATTTCGAGTCGATCTTGGCAGCCTCACGGCTTCCAAGACTGAAAAATACTACTATTTATGGCTTTTATGGTTATTTTGCATGTTATTATCACTCTGTCTCTATATTATATAAAAGTATAGGGGGGTTTCACTATTAAGCCTAGTCGCTAGGCAGAGTAGACCCTTCAAAAGTAAGCGCAAAATCGACCAGGTACGTATAACACAACGTATAGCTTGGACAAAGTAGGGCACAGAAAGAAAAGAAGGAAAGGACAGCTAAAAGCTTGTAAAGAAAAGGAACACACATCAAAAGCTCAGGCTGCGTCAGAGATGATAACCTTAGCTGCCTTTTCGCTGACCATGTAGATGGGCAGCGCGATATAGTATCCGGGTATCTTAGGGAAAACCGACGCATCCACTACTCGGAGGCCATCGACACCTCGAACCCTAAATCGCGAATCTAACACGCTATTCTTGTCGGCGTCAGGGCCGATAGGACTGGTGCAGCAAGCATGATGGCCCCATGCTTCTCTCTTGATGAACTCCTTCAACTCTGCTTCAGTCGTGACATTAGGCCCTGGCCATACTTCCTCAAAACTTCCATCTAGGGGCACAATGCTATCAAAAATCTTCCTCGAAAACTCCATAGCTTCGTACACAGCCTGTAAATCTTTGCTGTCGGCATCGTCTCCTGTGACACCGGTATCAAACGAGTTGAAGTTAATGATCGGGGTGTCTCTAGGATCCGTAGATCTGAGCTCCACTGTGCCTGCATTATTGCGACTTTGTGACTTCAAGACAATCCAAGTCCAATGCTGGGAATCTTTCAGAGCTTCATAAGAGTATCCTGGGAAATATCCCTGGAAGTTGGCAGGGGCTCCGGATATGAGGAGGTCCGGCTCTCCATCCGAAGCAGAGGACTTTTGGATGATGGCAATCGCAATGCCATTAGTTGTGTATGTACCTTTGTCCAAGGCATTGTTTTGCCACTGTTCAAGACAAGGGTCTGGTAGACTATCCATGAATGTGCACTTGGTTGTAAGGGTAAAATCTGTGGGCGTCTTCCCAACCAAGCCGGTCTCATAGCGATCCTGGAGGTTGGTGCCAACGCCAGGAAGGTCAACAAGCACTGGGATGTTCCATTTGTTCAACTCATCCTTGGGTCCAATGCCACTAAGCTTCAGCAACTGAGGTGTATTAAACGTGCCTGCAGACAAGATGACTTCGCGGGCCGCATTGACATACCCCGGAGTACCCACAGGTGCACTTTCTGACCGTGGATCCGCTCTGTACAAACTCTGACCTTTGATATAGTCCACTCCAGTTGCCCTAGGCTTGTCACCAGATAAATCGAAGCGTACATTGGTCACAAGAGTGTTCAGTTGGATATCAAGATGGTATTTGCGCGAGCCATTGTTATTCACAGCATTGACCGTGTCCATCAAAAAGTCACGGGGACCTGTGCGTCTATATTCAGGAATGTCCACAGCAAGAGGCACCTGAAACAGACCAACTTGTTGATCACGATTCGCACCGTCGTTGTTGAGGTCCCGGAGCAGAATATCACCAAGGCCGGTCACGGTATTGATAATCTTGCCTAGTAAATTCTGACCAGCGGCTGTAGCTGCCGCAATAACCAGGGACAACAATTTTTGATCCTCAAGAACAAGCTTCAGCTGTGTTAGACTGGTGGTGAGCCAGCCATCAAAACCATGACCAGCAATGCTGGTCGGCAAATAGCGACTACGCTCTAGCTGTTTGAAATAATCGCGCATCTTCTCGGCTGACCAAGATTCATCGCCCGTAACAGACGCAATATTGTCCCAGTCGCTGTCATAGGCAAGAATCGTGCTATCGAGTTATTAGAAAATATGATACACATGTATATCAATAGCTGGGGGACTTAGTCTAACATCATGGCGTTGTGTGCGGAGCAACCTCCCAAGGTACCGGCTCGAGGATACAAGATTCCCAGTGGTTCCGAATTAGCAGGGGGATTGGGACCAACATGAAGTTCTCCAGGCGGAGTTCTGTACGTCATCTTTGAATCTTCCTCCTGGCGGGTCAAGTTAGAGTAATGGTTGACGAAATAATCCCAACGCATTGGCTCATATTCAGTCGACTGCAACTGCAGTGCGGGAACCTGCTGCATAGTTGCATTACCCTGATCATCCCCAGCGTCGATAAGAAGGACTCTGTAGCCTGCAATGGCCAACCGTGCTGCTAATGGGCTACCTCCTGGGCCCGAACCGACAACTACATAGTCATATTCTGTAGCATGGTCGGATTCTATATGCGAACTGTTGGCAGATCGCTTTTGAGCGTTATGAAGCCCTTGATGATTAGCTTTGTGGCCACTAATTTATACGGCTTTAGCACTCGGTCAAAGAACCACCACGTAGAACATAAGGGAAAAGAAAAAACAACTTACGAGGTTAGAAGGGGGGAAAGGACCAAAGATAAAAGAAAGCTCCTGAGAAAGAGCATAGTCAAAGAGAGTGCGTGTACTCTAGCTGACTGTATATGGACTCAAAAGAAAGGGCTTTTCAAGTCGTGCAATCTTTCATTCTTATGCTCAGTTATTATGAGTGACAGGAGAAGAACTCCTGAAGATATGCTTGGAATGCCTTATTACCATGTGGCATACTAGGTGATCGACATATTATTGAACAGAGTATCCTTGATAACTATATTAATGGCATTTACTAAGGCCCAGCGTAACCTAACGGATTAGCCCAAACCGAATGGTCTAAGTCATTAGCACCGTTGCATTCTGCTCCGTATGAAAGGACAGCCTGGATAACAACGAGCGTTACTTTTTTTTTTTCCAGTTTGATTTTTATTTTCCGCTTTTTCTCTATATTTTAGTCCAGTCTAATTAGGCTCACATCGTAATTGCACTTTGTGGCTTGGAATGGCATGTAGGACTAATCTACAAACATTACAGTCAAAAATTGTGAGCATACAGCCCAATTATATACAGTACTGTCATACAGATTATTATACCTTGATCATCGCTTCCCCTTGCAGTCTTCGTCCTTGACAGCAGCCGATCAGTGTATTCTTCTCATATCCTACAGAGCGGCTATAAAAGGTAGACTAAAAACGTCTTCAAGGGTATAATACTGAGCTGGTATATACACCACTGGCCTATTACTGGATTGGGTATATGGTCAGTCATAGATTGAAGAAGCGGGATATATGACTACAGATATAAATGCATTTGCCATGTGGGTCGTAAGCTGAAATCCAACGTCTGGGTCAGACTATGCCGTCCACAATCGGCATTCAACACTTCTCCAATTTGATATAAGACAGGGGATGTA